TTAAAATGAAATAATAAGCACATGAAATTATAAAACAGGAAGCAGTAGCAAACCTTTATTTTGATATTTGATTATCTTTGAGAATAAATTGTCTGACAGTATATTCAGTAATATTTGACAGGATTTCAACTGTTACAAGTCCTCATCAAAACTTTTGATCTGCTTGAAAAAAAGCAATATAAGGTAAGTTTTAGAGAAGATAATTTCTCCCTATGACAGTTTTAAAAGACTCAAGATCAGCCAGATAAAAAACATTTCCAATACAATTATTGTAAATCAAGTATCAGAGGCTATTAATATCACACATGCAAAACATCTGAGGGAATAACTAATTAGCGATATATATATTGTAACAAAGTAACACATTGATACAATTTACAATATTTTATTCCATAAAGAGTAACTTCAATGGAAATATTGTAAAACTAACCAATGCATTAAAACATAAGTTTTCATTATATATCAACAGAATCAAGAAAATAAAATTTTGCTGACAAACAAACTCAAAAAAAGTATTAATAAATTTAGTAAATGAAAGAATAATAGCTTTGTTTCATAAACAACATTAGACAAAGTAGAAAAAAATATACACTTGGAACATGAAAATAAAATCAAAGAAATAGAGGATATTGAACAAGTGTGGGTTCAAAACAAGTTGCATAAACCGTATTATTAAGCCTCTGGCAAACATAATGTAAATGAAGTCACATCAAAATATGGAGTCGCAAAAGCGGTACAGGTATGTGATAAAGTTGAATGTTGCAGGTAGAAGAACATTATTTTATAACAAGAGTGCAATGATAGTCGGATATTGCTCACCCAAGATCTATTCCAGAAAAAGTCACAAGTTTTCAATGAGGTGAAGGTTATTGGGTATCATTTGCCGGGACCTTAATTTATCCTAGCCATATGATTTTAACCACCTTAATATATGTTGGCCAAACAATGCTACATGTCAAATAATTGAGCTCTAGGTGATTTAGTTTCATACAAGAAAAGTCTTTTTTCAAAATAAGTCTAAGTTTTGGCCACTGTAGTTCCTGAGGAAAAAAGATTTTGAAAGATTTAAGATGCTACTTTATGCTTCAGACAGGAAATAATTACTAGTATATAATATCTTAGAGCTCCACCTTAGAATTTTTCCTGTAAAATTTGCTTAAAATTCACTGTGTGGTTTTAGGTAGGTATGTTGTTTAAAGAAACTGTGAACTGTAGATAACAACCTGGCAAGACAGACATCATCCTACCACAAAAAATAATAACAGTAACAGTCTGCAGACAGAAAATAGTTTTTTTCCGAAACTGTGCTTGCAAATTGCAAATCTGTGAAAAACTGAATATCATATATGAGCCGCGCCACGACAAAACCAACATAATGGGTTTGTGACCAGCATAGATCCAGACCAGCCTGCGCATCCGTGCAGTCTGATCAGGATCCATGCTGTTCCCTTACAAACTCTATAACAAGTAGAGAAACCGATAGCAAACAGCATGGATCCTGATCAGACTGCGCGGATGTCGCAAACACATTATGTTGGTTTTGTCGTGACATTATGTTGGTTTTGTCGTGACTGGGCTCATATATAAATGTTTTTAATAAATCTTTATACTGAACTAAAAAAGTAGACTGAAATGTAATTCCTTTAAAATCATTTAGGTATTTCACTTTTCTCTGCATCAATTAGAGATTAGTGTCTTGAGTAATTTAAGTAATTTAACCCTTAAACAATCAAACTGAATATAAGATTATATTCATAGTTTAACAAATGTAGGAGTATTCTCAATCCAGGGTGAAACTTTGGAGTTCATTATGCAAAATCATGTCAAAATTAACTAGTGTACTATTATATCCAAAATTTTCCCCATTAATTAAACCATTTGGTATGTATGCACGTCAAAATTTTTACATTTTAGAATAATTTCAAAGCTTCATAAAAAATTGACACATAATTTGAGATCTTATATGACCATTATAAATAAAGGTGACAGATAATATTAAACATCATTAGAATTTCGTTACTAATGACCCTTAATATAGATGTACTTTAACATACTTTTAAATAGATAGACTACAACGTATTATGAAAATTAATTTAAGTATAGAAAACAAGATGGATGCAATAAAAACAAAACAAATTACATTGATATTTTATAATGAAAACATTATTTAGAGGAGAAAATGATATATACAATATATAATATTATATACATAAAGATGATTCTGGGAAATCCAGCAAATAATTAAACACAATTATTTTAACTTTATGTCCATTGTGCATGAGCTTTACATAACATAAATAATAACAAGTATCTGTCGGAAACGTTATAGAAGTGTCGGAAACGTTATAGAAGTGTCTGAAACGTTATAGAAGTGTCGGAAACGTTATAGAAGTGTCTGAAACATTATAGAAGTGTCGGAAACGTTATAGAAGTGTCGGAAACGTTATAGAAGTGTCTGAAACATTATAGAAGTGTCTGAAACGTTATAGAAGTGTCTGAAACGTTATAGAAGTGTCTGAAACGTCAATATTTATAAATCAATCAAAACATACATGCATCTCTAAATATAATAAAACCTCTATTAAAGCAAGGCTAAAGATATTTTTGAAATTCAAAAAATTCAAAATAATGTCTTTAAAAAAGTTACCAGTAATAAGACAGTGTTTTATTATTTTCTGGTTTTCCTGGTTGTCATCTTTTTAGTACATGTATATAATTCGAAAATCCACACAAGAAAACAATCTTCTCTTTTTTTTGTATAATATTATAATTATATATATTTTCTACCACACTGAAACAAAGCTTGTATTTATATCTAAATAAATCAAATAACAAAGTAATAAGACATATAATTACAATGTAATTAACAAATGACTTACAAATGAAAATTCACTTTAAAATTCACTAATGAAATCTCAAAACTGTAACAATATAAAGCCTCAAAAGAATTGTTAAACTTCCTGCTGTTTTTTTTTTCTTTTTGAAAAAAATTATTAAATTCTTCTAGATAATTATAACATTATGACTAAGCTATATTTTTTTTCTACTAATGACATTACATACTTGTCTTAGTTTTCTTAATAAAACATTTAACTGTAAAATTGAGAAACCAAAAATACATATCACTATATTAGTGGTATAGGGATGACTGTTTTTTTTTTGTTGTTTTTTTTTTGGGGGGGGGGGGATTTTGTTTGTTTGTTTGTTTTAAAGGTGCTCCAACACAGTAAAGGTCATATGGTGCCGAAACAGGTAAGATGACTTTGGCTAACCCTCGGTGTTACGTTACAGACTTCAAAACAACACCAGTGATCTAAACCACTTCACAAATTGTGGTATGCAATTTATGTACTGAGAAAAGATATTTAAATAATGCCTCTATATATACTTTGACAATAATTTCTTTAAAAGTTGCAAAATTATAAGCTGTGAATAACTCAATTAAAACATAATATTGAAAAGTATTATAAATTGATTTAGGGTCACCGTTGTAAGGAATATCAGAGGTGTACTACTGTACCTGTGATAAAAGTCATGAAATAAAATTTCCCAAGAAATACTCAGTTTTCAACTTTTAATAATATTTATACCAATATCAAGTCTTTTTTTTTCATTTTAAATGAATATATTTTGTCTGCATAAAAAATACTGAATCAAAAACAAATTAATGAACTTAGAAATGAGCTTAGAAGAAATATACCTCAAAAGGGTACAAAACAAATAATGCTATATTACAACAACAACTGAACATGTACTACAAAACATTTAATAATTATACAAACTTAGTATGTTGCTATCATAGTCCCCAGTAAAACAGAATAAAACTATACATGCATATAGAATATGTTTAACAAAATCAGGTGAAAAACAAATATAGTTCAAAGTCAATGGGTAACTTTGACTGGCTGTGAAAAAATTAAAGACAACTTAATGTCATTGTCTCCCAGGCCACCAAGTAAACAAGATAGCATTTGGTAACTGTGCTACTGTGCACCCAAGGTAATTTTCAACTTAAACAGAATAGAAGAAAAGTGCAGTTGACCATTTTCCAAAAATGATTCTGTGTTACAAACAAGGATTTGTTGTTGTTTTTTTTGTAAAGAATGAAGAGTCTTAAAACAGACAGTCCAATATCAGAGAGTACAATAAAGGGAGTCCAATATGAAAATACTGCAAATGAGTAGTCCACAGTACAGAGTTGGCCTAGTTCAAAATAAGTGGCATAGGTCTGGCATTTACAATATAAGCACTTTATAACTTCAAATAATAAAATAATGACATTAATTTTTATAGTTTCTTAATCAGAAATAGACAACTTAATAACAAATAAAGTAACATCAAGAAATCATTTTTGATATGTTTCAATCTCTAAGTCTAAAGCATACCCATAAAATTCACAACAATCTACAAGATAAAATACATTTTTGTTTTAGGTGTTTATTCTAGGACATGAAATTAATGGGGAGCGGGGAAATTTCTTCCAAACAGAGATATTCAAAGGTAGGAAAAATTCAATATAGTATACTTAATGCTCAAACTTGACCCAAATTACAAACTAAATATGTTTGTTTAAAGTACTTGGTAAAAACAATCTCTTATTAATTGCTTTGAAGAATCATTACATGAATATTTATTTGAGCTTTAAAACAGAATTGCAGCTCTGACATGTAACATGTACAATACAAATGTAGCTCATATCTTAATTAGCTGAAAGTGTTTTTTTTTTCCATATAAAATTTGTGAATTTTACAATAACTTACCATAAGCAACTGTGCATATATAAAACACCTCGATTAATTTAAACAATGACATCAACATTTCAGTGCGCTCTTTTTACTTTTCATGGCATTACACTGGATTATCACAAAAGAAAGTAGTACGGCTATTATTATCATTCTTACTCATATTGTTTAAATGAGTGAATCCCAAAATTGCATATCCTAAAAAATACCCTGTGGTTTTTTTATCTGAGTTTTAAAATAGGTATTTAAAAAAAAAAATAAAAATACTAGGGCAACATCACGAACAGCTTGTTTGATTTTGGTACCTTCATCACTGTATCAAAAACTGCATAATGAAGTTTACATTTAAAGGGTTTTTATTTTCTTCTGATCAATCGTCAAACATACAATGAGCCGCGTCATGACAAAACCAACATAATGGGTTTGCGACCAGCATGGATCCAGACCAGCCTGTGCCTCCGCATCCATGCTGTTCGCTATCAGTTTCTCTACTTGTTATAGGGTTTGTAAGCGAACAGCATGGATCCTGATCAGACTGCACGGATGCGCAGGCTGGTCTGGATCCATGCTGGTCGCAAACCCATTATGTTGGTTTTGGCGTGACGCGGCTCCAATTATTTGATCTCACAGACCAAAATTCAAGGAGTTTCTTATCTATATTATAAATTGACTTTTTTAAGAACCTCATTCCTGGTATTTTACAGAAACATAGGACAAGAAATTTGTTTCCCCTGAGCCATTAAAAAATCATCTCTTTTATTTATATGAAGCTCTGAAAAAAGCTGCTGTTTTGAGAAAATTGAAAACACTCTTTCACTGAAAGATTTATTTTCATACGAGGAAAAATACCAAAAAAAACAGCACAATTCTTTAATAAATCAAAATGTAAAAAGGTGGCTTTAAAACAAATGCCATTCAATCCACAGCACTCTGGACTGTTTGGCCATGTTACAGCAATATCTTTAGCATTTTTCATTTAGAATAATCACATAATGTACACATAAATATTCCATAAATTCACTGTTCACACAAAGTATCACAAATTGCTTAGCTGGCCCATGCCTCTAATTCTTTTAATTCATCATCATCTTCAGTGGCTGCAACTGAAATTAGGTAAAATACAAAGATACATAAGCAAAGCTTTTCTCTTAAAGTCGGCTAAGAATCTCATAGAAAATTGATTTTTAATTCAATTCTTAGTATATTTCTATGCTATCCTTTGCAGAGTTTTCCATTTTAAGGGTTTCATTTGATATTTTAAGATTTTAAATTTTATGTTTAAAGGCCTTTTGACCTCAGAGGAGTCACTTGAATAAACACTTTAAAACATTATTATATCACACCAAGCCAAATTCATGTTGATCTGTTATCAGAGAGTGTTTTATAAAGGTAAAAAAGACACAAACTTGAGTATAATGAAATAATTGATTTGATTTATACAAGATTTATTTTAGTTCCATTGTGTAGCAAAATATAAGCTTATAGACACGCTTTCGAATCCGTTCCTGGAACCAACCAGTACTGAGCCATAAGTGTAAAGTTTTTTGTTTAAGGAAACAACCGCCTGCCCAAGACAGGGTTTGAACCCATGCAGCTAGTGATCATTAGATTACTAGTCTGACTTATTAACCACTCACCCATGCGCCCATGATCGATTTATGGCACTTTATAAAACTATATTACAATAACAATAAAGAGGGCAATACAATAACAGGGTGTTCACTATCCATGAAATCTTGAGTGTCATTTTGACCAGTATGGACTAAGTTTAACCAACTACAAGGCCGAACCCTATGATTTTAACAAAACTTGACTCTCCAGTTAAAATCCTCAGGGTCAAATCAGGCCTTTTGGAAATTTGAAGGGTCAAACAGTCATTTCAAGAGGTCAAACAGACACCCTGAATAAACTTCTTTCCTAGACTCATATTGGTGAACTCACCCATTTAAGGTTATTTTTCAACAAAAGGTCTTCTGATCTTGTATGATGTCAGGACTGACTTTTCACTATATACTAAGTTTGTGAAAAGTTATATGTAATGTTCAGACTTGTCATAATTGTCAATACAAAACAATTTTTATAAATGCTAAACAATCATAGTTTACACATACTAATACAGAATATGCAGTCTTATCAAACTCTTAAACCTAATATACACATCTTATTGTGTAAAATGTGACTATATGCAGTATTTAATCCACATGTATTTTAAATTATAAATAATTAATGTAACATATACCTTTTCTAGAACCAGCGGGTTCAGATGTGGGTACAGATGGAAGGTCATCTGCCATTGGGCCAACATCCAACAATTTCTCGTCAAGTTCTTCTTGTTCCATCTCCTCGAGTTCTGCCATAAGCTCATCCTGAAAGAGCAATCACAACAATGGTAATATAGGTAGTTCAACCCTGCTATATTTTTCTAACCCTTACCAAACTTAATATCCTAAATGGACCTGTTCATTTTCAATCTGAAAAAAGAAAGCAAAAAACAACCAAAAAAAAAAACCCTAAAAAACAAGAGCACTGCATGCAGTGTCAACGCTCGTCTGTTAAAATATAAACCATTTTTGACAAAAATTCTAAGTTAAAAAGGGGCATAAATCCAAAAATGTTCTTTTCAGAATTATGCCAATTGCGTAACAACTGCACCTTGTGCTCTCTACTCTGCCCCATAACCTCTGTGCTTTACGGCCCACAACAGGTTTCAACATTAACTATTGAGCAATGCTCCCTTCATAATATTTTATTCTTGTTTTGAAGTTTTTGTAATAATAACATTTAAATTTCTTAAAAACTGAAGAAAGATGATAAAATGCTTAAAACTAGAACTGTTGTTCAGGGCCCAGTAGAACCATGACCTTTCACTTGCATTTACAAATACTTTAGCATGTTCTCATTGAGCACATTTTGATATCTCTTTAAACTATAAATTTTGTCCGGACATCAGAATTGATGACTGGACATAACTATCAATGTACTTTTCTGAAACATAAACCTTAAAGTCCTAGCATGACCTTGATCTTTAAGCTATAAACTCATCACAAATTGTTATAAAGAACCATATATTTAAGCCAAGCTATTACAAAATCTGTCACTGAATGACAAAAAGGCATGTACTGGACAGGCATACCAATTCACAATCAAATCATGACTTTTGACATTCAAGTATGAACTTGACCTTTGGGCTGCAGAGCTAAATTTTGTTCATAACATATCATCTTAGTAAACAAAGTTGATATTGGGAACAATTATTTTGAAGTCCATCCATGAATGACATAGCTAATGTAAAAATACATGTATATAAAATATAAATAAGTATAATTTTTTCTTCACTTGCAACAGCTATTTTTCTGTTCACAAAATTTTGCCACGGAATATTAAGAAATCAAAACTTGTTAAATACACAATACTTAAAAAATAGAGATGTTAACAAGCCTTTATTAACAATTCTACTCAAAAATATTAAGATATGTTTAACAAGGTATGTTGTTAAATTAGGAAAAGTTTTTGATTTATGAAATGACGTCAAACAAAACCCACAAAGTCATTATTTCACTCTTTATAGAAAACTTAATGTTCAAATAAAAAGTTCATGTCTCATTATTTATAAAATTAAATGTCTTGTTTGTGTAAACACTCATAAGAATTTTTATTTCTTGTCATAATATATCTTACCATAGTGATAATTGTAGTTAGTAAAATAGAGATAAATTTACATAAAACCATTGTATAGATAGACAACAAGTTGTTAACTGGCAGATGCAATTTGATTTATCTAAAACATAACACATCCTCGTGCTTTGGTATATAAAGGTGTTTTCAGTTGCGTAAGTTCAAAGAAATGTTCATCAACTTCACTTGTTTTGGTTTTCATTTATTCAACCTTGACTTGCAGTTAAACACTTATTTCTGCTTCCTGGAACTGGTCTGTATTGGTGTCATGTGATGATGTGAGGATGATCGGAGCAGGGCTCGAACCCATGATCCCTACACCTTTACTTTACATGATCTGAGCAGGTCTCGAACCCATGATCCCTATGGATCTGAAAATGTCTCAAACCATTGATCCCTTCACCTTTACTGTACATGATCTGAGCAGGTCTTGAACCCATGATCCCTATACCTTTACATGATCTGAGCAGAGCTCGAAACCCATGATCCCTACACCTTTACTAAATACATGATCTGAGAAGGTCTCGAACCCATGATCCCTACACCTTAACTAAATACATGATCTGAGCAGGTCTTGAACCCATGATCCCTATACCTTTACTTTACATGATCTGAGCAGGTCTCGAACCCATGATCCCTACACCTTTACTTTTTCATGATCTGAGCAGGTCTCGAACCCATGATCCCTACACCTTAACTTTACATGATCTGAGCAGGTCTTGAACCCATGATCCCTATACCTTTACTTTACATGATCTGAGCAGGTCTCGAACCCATGATCCCTACACCTTTACTTTTTCATGATCAGAGCAGGTCTCAAACCCATGATCCCTACACCTTAACTTTACATGATCGGAACAGGGCTCGTACTAGGGATGTCATCTGGAGCCAAAACAGCCATCTGGATATCCAAATCAAACATCCGGATACATTCGGATGTTCGGATCGTTGTTATATTCTTAGATGTATGATATGACGTAACCATTTTTTCGCGACCTTTTTCAAAGTGTAGTATTTCGTTTTTCTTCCTTTTTAATTGAATGTTACTTTTTCCGTTATTGATTTTATTTCTTCCATATAGAATATGACTGTTATCAATAAATTAAAATATACGATTTCAAATGAAATGAAAATGAAATTCACCGCTGATTCTCTGAATTCCTCAATTAGTGCTAAAATACACAATAACACTTGCTCAGATTTGTGAAAACAAAATAATACTCGTAAAAAAATCAATATAATGTTAACACGCATACAATTTACACACGATGACCTTTGACATGCATGTAGCCGGCTTTTCAAAAGAATCTGCCAATCTTTGATGTTTACCATCATGAAGCCCTGGCTGTTTGATTCGAATCATCAAAGAAGTTGCCGAAACTTATATGAATTACACACATGTTAAGTGTTCCTAAGTGAAAAAAAAACTGTGAAAAAATTGTTTTTAAAACAATGCACATGTTTGATTAATACTAAAGGAGAAAGTTATTTTGTCGGATAATTTTAGTAACAATTTCAAGAAAAGCTGTGATAATTAACATATTATTATTCGTAAGTGCATTTCTTGATTTTATTATTTTATTTCTGCAGATTTTTCATTGTCTCAAAATAAGGAGTCGACGAGTCGGTAAGCCGAAATATATATAAAAATAATAGCCTAAATAAATATTTAAATTTGGACATAAAAAATGTAACATCGTTGCCGATGACAATCGCACGGGACTTAGAATATTCATCTTGAATCTTACAAAACTTAAATTTGATTAATAACATGTATCATACCTGACTCGTAATTATTATATTAATTATTGATTTTTTTGTTCTGATGTGTATTGTCAAACTAAGGTACAATATACAATATGGTGTCAACACCATCTCCACGATTATTTTAAAGCATGTATTTATCACATTTTATCAATATTCTAAAATATTCTAAAATATTCTATTTTATACCAACATCCGGATCAGAAAATTGGCTCCGGACACCGAATCGTGATCCGAACGTTCGGATATTCGGACTCCGAATGACATCCCTAGCTCAAACCCATGATCCCTACAGCTTTACTTAACATGATCTGAGCAAGTCTGCAACCCATGATCCCTACACCTTTACTTTACATTATCTGAGCAGGTCTCAAACCCATGATTCCTACACCTTAACTTTACAACATGACGTCCTTTTATTTTATGCTATACTTGAGTAACTTGACACTTTTTTTTGTTGTTTTTTTCACACTTAGGGTCTTATATTGACTTCCAAGGGTTACTATTAGTGAAAGACCTCTTCAGCTATGACTGCCAATCAGGTAAAAGCAACACTTAGAATAGCTACTTCATAAGAAAATAATTCAATGTTTATCACAGTATTTAAACCAACAGCAGCCAGGGCCAAGTACATGTCACTACGTTTTTAAGAACTTTAACATTTTCTTGTGAAATCAAAAGAAAAGGGATCATTTCTAAAACTAGAAGTAAATTTAAGCCATCCTGAGGGAAATAATTATAGGATGGGCAACCTTGACTACATTTGTTACTTCCTCTACAAAACTGAAAAAACACTGAGTTTAAATAATTGTTGAAAGGGAGAATGTCAATCCTCTATTTAAGATTTAATAAAATCCCTTACAGTACTCAAATAAGAGAAATAAAGGTAACAACTGCTGTCATTGCATTACAATAATATTTACTTGTCTAGACAAAGGGGAGTAACCACACATTCTGTTAATAAAATATCTTTGAAAAGTTGCTGGTATTTTCAAATGATTACACTTATGTTTACAATTTAAATATATACATTTAAACACATGCTAAATCTGTGTTATAGAGCTAGCCTTCTTTAAAATAAGAAATTGCAAATTGATATAGTTTATTATATTTTCATGGAAATTAGTTTGCACCAACACAGAAGAGGTTATATGGCGACTTTCCAGCTTTACTGATGGAGGAAGACCTAGGATGCCACTCTGTGCATTATTTCATGCACAAACAGACATCTGAGTAGAACCATAGACATTCCATAAGCTTACTGTATAGCTTCATCACATGAATTTAAAAAGAATCAAAAGTCTCTAGCGAGAGTTGAATTCACAGTAGTAAGGCGCAAGTGGTTTTAAGTCAATGACCTTAACCACTCAGTCAAGAGTGCCACAACAAAATTATAGTTTAAGAGATATCAAAATGCAATGTATCAAACTAGAGAAACTAGATTATTGAAGACATGTCCGACCTTAAAGACCTGCATGCTTCTTTAGCTCTAAAATTACCACAGAGAGTAATTGAATTGAAGACAAATTTTTATTTTAATAACTTTTTTCCCATTTAAGCAAAAGATATTGAATTGAATTAATTTATCAAATATATGATCAGAAAAAATTCTGAAAGTGCTTGTTTCAAACAATAACATCCCAAAATAACGTAATATAATTTACCTCATCCATATCTGCATTAAAGCCTACAGGGTTTGATATAGCGTCACTGATTTCATTGGCAATCTCTTGTTGTTCGGCTACATCATCCATTAAATCATGAACCTTGTCTACGTCCCTACAATATAATGATGTCAATAAAATACTAAATGATGGACAGTATCACTAGTAAGTACTAACACAAGACCTTAAGACCTTAAGACAATGGATACAAAGGTCACTCGGTGCAAGAAAATTGTATCTTTGTTCTGTATTTTCAGTTGACTTAAAAACGTTTGACCTTCACTTATCCCTTATCCCAAAAGTATTAGATGCCAAATGCACAAGAACATTCATTTTCAGTGAGCAAAGAGGGATTGTAGGTGGGTGGGTTAAAGCCCAACTAGGGCAAACTTTTTTTTCTCAATTTTTATACTTTTCTCTTCTTTTTTGCCTGGTCAAGTCATCGTTTTTCTTTTTTGTTCTTGAAACAATCTTTAATCAAAAATATTTGTAGTTTTGTATACACTTTTAAACTAAGGCAACTTTACACCTTAAAATGTTTATATTTTCTGGATACTCAACCTCCCCTTATTTTTTGCACACATGTTTAATATTGTACTTAGTAATTAGTATTTAAGATTTAACAATGCCCCATTGAAAAATGACAAAATTTGGCAGAATTTCTGAACATACCCACCTTCAGTTTCATTAAAACTATCTACATGTATTATATAATACTTTTGGTATCAATTTTTCAAGCAACCTTTGTTAAGTTTCTGTATCCTCAAAATGGAATGTCAAATGTTTGAATGCTTGCAACTTTTCTAAGTTTTAAACTATATGAGGTTATATTTTCAATACTTACATATTGTTGTGTGCTTTCTTCAGAGCCTTGGCAGCCGATCCCATGGCTTTAAGTACCTCTGTATTTGTGCTGGCATTTTCAAGGCACTCCCTCTGGAACTCTATAGTTGACAATGTACCATCTATTTGCTGTAGTTGTTTTTCATATCTCTTCTTTCTTTTCAATGCTTGCAATGCAACTGAAAAGACAAAAATTAATTTCTAACTTTTCAACTTAATAAGAATATCTGATGCCCTTTCATAAGGATCTTGGTGAGAGATTAGCTCTCTGAGGACTTTGGACCTGTTGGGGTTGAGGAAATCATACCTCTACATTGGTGGTGTACAATCTAGACATGTATAACTTCTAGTTTGTACTTAATTAGCTCAAAATATTTAGTATTATACTAAAGAAAACTAAATGAAGCAATTAGATGTGAGTCAAGTATGCAACTGTATGCTGCAAAGCATAAACTATAATAGAGCATAGGTTTAATATTTTGAACTAATTAGCTTTAGGTCTTCAAAGTTTAATTAAAGGGTTACATAACAAGAAAGTAAGAAATACCAGTAATGATATAAGGAAAGATTACAGACACTTCATCCAAAGCCATTGTTTGCAGACATTTCATCCTTCTTTTTATGAAATCTCATTGAGACACTTCACCCCCCCCCCCCCCACCAAGTTGGTGAGTGAGCCAAGTGTCAAGTATTGTATCAAGTTTTTTGTCATCCAATTAGAGAGTCAACAAGCAAATTCGTTGAATTTATATCCCCCGCCGATTACTGGTTATTATTAACACAACAACTGAAGACATAAGGCTTTATTTATATATTAATCATGGCATAAACAGTAATATTCTTTGAACTTGATAAATATTCAGGGCAATAACAGAGCCATAACTTTGTGTTAAATAGTAAAATGTGGAAATGCCAAAGAGATGTATGCATACTACATAACAATCAAGGGCCATAAATCTGAGTTATAAGTATCTGACTGGAACAAGTCGACTATATGCACATCTCCTCTTAGTATCCCATAAAGTTTCATTGAATTCAAGCCAGTAGTAGCAGAGAAGTAGCGAGGAAACAAATATTTTTCTATATGGATACTGCATAACTAATCAAGGGCCATAACTCTGAGTTAAAGTGTCTGACCGGAACAAGCCGACGATATGCGCATCTCCTCTTGGTATTGAAGGTTCCCATAAAGTTTCGTTGAATTCCAGCCAGTAGTTGCAGAGAAGTAGTGCGGAAACGATTTTTACTCTATATGCATACTACATAACTAATCAAGGGCCATAACTCTGAGTTAAAGTGTCTGACCGGAACTAGCCGACAATATGCGCATCTCCTCTTGATATTGATGATTCCCATAAAGTTTCATTGAATTCCAGCCAGTAGTTGCAGAGTACTACTCCGGAAACGATTTTTACTCCATATGCATATTGCATAACTAATCAAGGGCCATAACTCTGGAGTTAAAGTGTCTGACCTGAACAAGCCGACGATTTGCGCATCTCCTCTTGGTATTGAAGGTACAATAAAGTTTCGTTGAATTCCAGCCAGTAGTTGCAGAGAAGTAGCGCGGAAACGATTTTTACTCCATATGCATACTGCATAACTCATCAAGGGCCATAACTCTGAGTTAAAGTGTCTGACCGGAAAAAGCCGACGATATGCGCATCTCCTCTTGGTATTGAAGGTTCCCATAAAATTTCGTTGAATTCCAGCCAGTAGTTGCAGAGAAGTAGTGCGGAAACGATTTTTACTCTATATGCATACTACATAACTAATCAAGGGCCATAACTCTGAGTTAAAGTGTCTGACCGGAACAAGCCGACGATATGCGCATCTCCTCTTAAAATATTGATGATTCCCATAAAGTTTCGTTGAATTCCAGCCAGTAGTTGCAGAGAACTACTCCGGAAACGATTTTTACTCTATATGCATACTACATTACTAATCAAGGGCCATAACTCTGAGTTAAAGTGTCTGACCGGAACAAGCCGACGATATGCGCATCTCCTCTTCATATTGATGATTCCTATAAAGTTTCGTTGAATTCCAGCCAGTAGTTGCAGAGAACTACTCCGGAAACGAAATTCGGACGGACGGACGGAAGTGCGGACAATGCCAAAACTATATCCTCCTCCCGATTCCATCGGCGGGGGATAATTATCATCTTTTATCTATGATAAACATGGGTGTTTATTGTAGATGATAGGTGTAATCGACTTCCAAATGGGATTAAAAAGTAAATATACATTAAGACAAGGACTATATATATTAGTTTACAAAGTGACTGTCTGCTTAAACATATGTATAATGTCTTAAAATTTGATGCAGAAAACGGTCTTTCTTATGGTGGTAACAACTGGGCATGCCAAATTAAACAGATTTTAAATGAAATAGGAATGTCAAACATATGGATTAATCAAGAACATATAACAATCAATTTTCAACAAATTAAGAACAGAATATTGGACATTTACAAGTAAGAATGGTATAGCAATATAAGAAATTCTAGTAGACTATCGTCATACAGCATCTATAAACGCTCACTCGAAACTGAAGAATATCTTAATAAAGTTAACATTAACAAATTTCGAATATCACTTACAAAATTTAGATTGTCATCCCATAACCTAGCAATAGAAACAGGTCGATACGAAAACATAGCGCGAGAAAACAGACTATGTACGAATTGCAATTTAAACGTGATAGAAAATGAATTCCATTTTTTGCTAGTTTGCCCCAAATACTATAGTTTATGTCGCAAATATTTAAAACCATACTATTGTTGTTGGCCGTCAATTCATAAATTTGAAAAACTAATGTCTACAACAAATACGCAAATGTTGAATAACCTGTCAAAATTTTTGTATATTTCATTTAAAGAAAGAACTGACAACAGTTAGTATATTTTTAATTTTGTCATATATTTTTTTTTTGTATTTTTCATATGAAAAAATGGACAACAGTTATTACTTTACTTGTCAAATTTTTGGTATTTTTCATTTAAAGAAAGAGCTGACAACAATTAGTAGCTTAAATTTATTCAGTTGTCAAAATTTTTTGTCAAGGTCTTTAAATTATTAATGATGTTCTTCCATTGCAAGATAACAGGAACTTAAATATATTCAAATTTTGTAGCAACAAGAACTTTCTCTGTAAAACATTAAAATTCGTTAAGGTATTTATATTGTATATCATGTTCTTACATTACATGATTGTTTACTGTATTGGCTATAAATGTATATTGCCATTTTATGCCAAATAAAGAATATGTTATGATACGTTATGTTATATATATTACATACATGTATATATATAAAATAAAAGTTCTGTTCAAACTTAATACTAAACTTGTCCAATTATAGACATATATATTTTATTTCCTTACATATTGGTATTTTGCTATGGTATTAACAGTGTTTAATATGGGGACGCTTTGCCCCTTTACAAAATCGACCCCATTATAAGTTAAGAATAAATCTTACCTTTACATTTTTTATACCAGAAATTCATAGCATTGCCATAAATGAATGAATAAAAGGAATGAGAAAATTAAATGATTCGTTAAATTATGATTTTGTAATAGAATGCGGCTAAAATAGTAGTAATCAAAACAAACTGAAAAGAATAAACTTTTTTAAACAAAAAATAGTACACAATTAAACACTGGAACAGATTTTTATCTGTTTATTATCAAGAAGCATTTTTTTAACAATACAATACAATTTAATGCTGAATAAATATTATTGTATCATATTGTTGTTTTAATTTTAAACAATTAAAAAGCAAGACACAGAACAATAATGAAACAAACATTTATTATCAAAATCTGCAACAATAACCTATAAATAATTAATGTTACACCTTGAAAAAAAAACAACTTTTGAATCGGTTAACTTCCTGGTCAAACAAATATGAGAAAATTTCAAGAAACCAATTTGGCTTTCAAAAGAGTAAAACGATTTAACTGATTGTATATTTATTCTCCACTCTAGTATTCTTAAGGTCCTAAATTCTGGAAAAAAGATGTATTGCGCTTTAATAGATTACAAACAATGCTTTTATTAAATAGATAAGATATTTTTTATATGAAAAACTTGTTGCTGCAAATCTCTAGGACAATTTTGTATCAATATATCGAGAGACAAATATGGACGATATATCGACTTTCACAGTGGATACAATAAAAAACATTTAAATGTGTGTTTTAAATTAGGATCATAGTGTTATGCATACTTGTATGAGACTACTAATACTACAAACTAACAGAAAGTGTCTTTTTTCTGTTATTTTTGTCACTGACATTTGAAAACAGAGTTTAAAGTTCAAGTTAGCCTAGAAAACTGGAAAAAGTGACTTCTCTTATTAGGCAAAATTGAGAGGTATACATTTATTAATAGAAATAAATAAATTTAGCTATCGATATTTGAAAGTGTGTATGGATATTGTATTGGATGATGAATATCGATGATATATCGGTATCGCGATATTCAATGACAGCCCTACAAATCTCAAGTTCTAAATTTGTTCGAGCTATCAAATAGATGTATACTGTAGTAAAATCTTGCATAAGGTTTAAAAATACAAATTCAGATTTCTTCAATTGTGATAAAGTCACAAGCAGGGAGACCTAAGCTTGCTGCTGTTCATGCTCTTTGTTAGTGATATATGTATCTTTTGCATTATTCAATTTGTTTTATTTTTTTAAATGACGCAGAATTTACTTTTCCAAAGAAATTTTAGTTATTTGATATGTTGGTTGGTTCAGTTCTTGACTTTGGATCTGAGATTTGGGGACACCATAAGGCCAGGGAGATAGAAGTTGTACACACCAAATTTTAAAGACGAATACTATGTGTTATACGATCAACCAACTTATCAGCACTATATGATGAAACTGGGCGTTTTACCCTTGAAATTACTCGAAAGATCACTACCGGGTATGTTAAAATACTGGATGAAAATATTATCGCACAACTCAAATTCTCTGATTTTACAGACATTTCTAAAGCTAAAACATGACACTGATTTTAACAGACATTACGCACAAAATAATTGGGCATACCAAATCAAGACTATACTAGATAGCCATGGTTTTAGCTTTATTTTGGACCACCAATTTGAAATCGACATTCCTTTTCATGAAATTAAGAAAAGAATTTATTATTCATACATGCAAACATGGCATGGGGAAATTAATGATTCAAATCGACTTCATTCATATAAACATGAATTCAAGCCTGAGATTGAGAAATACCTTAATATCATCTATGAAAATAAATACCATAAAAGCATTAACTTGATTTAGAATTTCGTCACATAGCTTAAATATTGAAAACAGAAGACATTCAAAAAGAAGATTGATTATGTAGGTTATGTAATATGAATCAAATTGAATCGGAATACCATTTTCTTCTAGTTCAGTGTTCGCGTTTACTGAGTAAACATATCAATTTACTCGCTAAAATTGCCAGGGAGGAAAGAAAAAAAGGGCTGTTGAGTCCCTGGGACGAAACACTTTTTCCCCGATAATTGGTCAATTCTCTCTTAAGTTTTTTTGCTCTGCTTGAAAATGATTTTCTATTCACTTTAAATAAATTGTATTATAAGAACTTGACTTTCACCTCATTTTCATTTGTTCCTTTCTCATTAGCAATGCAGATTTATATCCCAAACGTAGACTAGGAGCAAGTGCTCGGCCTCGTTTTGGGCCAACCTATCAATGGTATCCGCGAACATCAACAGTCACAAATTTGATTGTATTATGAAGTTATGCAAACATTGACATTTTTGTAATTGAGGACTCGTTCCATTTGAATTGGGACGTAACAGATCTATTAGCACTGAGTCCCAGGTACTCAGTAAAGTTAGGGAAAATCGCTAACACTGTAGTTTGTCCTTTTTATCGTGATTTAAGAAAAAATATTTTTAGCCTTACTTCTGTCACTGGCCGAATATCAAGAAATTAAGGTACTATTATCATCATGTTCGAATAAAACTATTTATAATCATAAATGTAGCTAAATTTAAATACTATGCGAATTTAAGTCGCGACGCATAAATAACAGTTCATACAGCATCTTCAATCTATAATACAAACAATGTAAGTTAAACTCACGATTTTTTCCGCATTTTGTTGGTTTCCTACTGGATAGTTACTAAGTAGATCTATTTAAAGTATTGATAACGTTTAACATACACATGCACGAGAATCTCATTTTATGCGCCGGAGGTATAAACATGAACCTTGTGTAGCTGATTCAATTCATATTTAACTGATCAATCTTTTTTCTTGTATTAAAAGTTAAATGTAATCAATTAAGTATTAATCATTATTGATAGTCATGTACTCTTCCTCCTTTGTATGCTAAAAACATTGTAAAATGTTTGATGCTGAATAAACTATTAATGTCTTGTATCGTCAAGTGACCTGTTTTTACGCTGCCTTATTTAGACGCCATTTATATTTTGCCTCATAATTGATATAAGCGGCCGCTTACGTCACTACTGTACTACGCTATGGCAAAAGGGGATTCCTCTAGTTGGTTAGGTAACAATATGTAGTAAGTAAAACACCCAAAGGTAATATTTAGCATGTTATACCTTATTTAAGCGATTTTTGTATGATTTCACTAATGCAATTTTGACCCTCACTTTACTATGTCACGTTTTCCTTGAAAAAATCGGCTGGAAAATACCTCCCTGTCTGCTGACCTCATTTCCTTATTCTCAGGTCACGTGGCAGTAAAAATTACCCAATAGTGTTGTTTTTGGCGCATTTTTTCACCCTAAAGCAACCAGTACGTGTTATAGATTTTTTTAACGGTTATTAATCGATGATTGAATGTTAATTGAAAATTAATTGGATATGTTTATCTTATTTGGATGGAATGAATTGCCATATTTTAATTAGTTGCTCCACTTAATGTATTATTTTGTTTTTGCAGGTTCAACAAAGAAAGTAAAGATATGCTATTTTCCGACCTATATTTTTCAGCAGTGGAGGTCAAACAGACTAGGGCAACCGTCCAAACCACTGTAAAAATACAAAAATAGCATTTACCACATATAATAATGCTTTATTTATGAAAGAAATAAAGAATAGATAAACTATTTTTCACTTGTTGATACTTTGCAGGTCTATGCTCTTGATATTGGTGAACAACGTAAGTAAAAGTATTATGGTGTACAGTTTCCTGTAGTGTGTAATGAAATTAGCCAATCAATGGCGTCGTTTTAGGGCACTCTAAATAAAAATGGCCGCTCCCAGATGAAGTGAATTAGGATTGTTCATCAGTCTTCACGAAAAACTTTAAAAAGCACAGGACATTCGGGCCATTAAAATTTTAGATCTTACTGGACCTGGTGATTTTTAGTCGGACCAAATACATAGATAGGTAATAAATTGATGGGTAAAGGAAAGCACTTTTTCATGCTTCCCTTGATAATTTTGAAAGAAGCATATTACTTCTTGTATTCTGGGCCATATGTTGACAGCTTTGGAAAATCTATAAGGACCAAATGTTTAGGTATAACTGACTAGAAATAAACATTAACAATGCTTAATTATATTTTATGTAAAGTTTCATGAGTTTGTTTTCTCTCTCTCCTTTTTAGACATTTTGAAGACAAGTTGTATTGTGAGCAAAACAAAATAAAAGCTTAGATATTTTTTGATTCTATGAAAGATATCTAGAATTACGAAAAAGCTTAATTGCTAAAGGTGATAAAAACATAACAGGTTTTGATAAAAGTAATTCATAAATAATTATGTAAGCCTTCTAGGTCATAAATGTTTTTGTCCCTTTACTATTATTCGTAAATAATTTATTTAATACTTAGTATAATGGTGAAATCGTAATATATGACACAATTTGCTTCAAACAAATGTCTTTCACACAAAATATACTACTAATAACTCAATATCACAAACCAATGGTTGAATTTCCGTGATTATATGGTGCAGTACAGAAAATATCCAAGAAAAAATTGGCGGCCTCCATTACTAAATACAATTTAGACTTCTCTCGTGGGTGTTTTGTACATCAAGGACTGAAAATGGTGGGTTTTGTTTGCAAAAAGATCGATCTTTTTTTAGAACCCTGCCTCATTATCTTGATGATTTTTTTCTTATGGTACTTTGTCATGGCCAAAAATCTACTGGCCCGTCGGACCACCAACCTTGCAATAATCACCAGACCGATGCTAAATTTAGTGGCCTCGGGCCTCGGACTGGCGCTTATTTCGAAGACTGGTTCATGAAAAGGAATAGCTGGAAAACAGCTTAAATTTACCCACTTCATAAAGGTTAGAGATTTTTTTAAAAGTTAAAACATTTTATACAATACAATCACATGGTTTTTATAGATGCATACAAAACAATCCTTAAGGGCGTCGAAACTGGTCACTCGAGGATACATAAAATTAAATGTACCATTTTTGGAAGTTACATACCACATACATAGAAATAGTTAATAAAGGGATATAAGGGATAATGGCAAAGTTGTTTATTCTTCAAATTTGTGCATTAATTAAAATCTATTGTATTTTTGTAATTACAATTATAATATAATAACAATAATAATGTTTCATAGTTTGTAATTTGATTGTTATTTGTTTCATTACCCATTTCTGACTGTGTTATACAGGTTACACTATTCACTATCCTGGTATGTTTCCTCTATGGTACAAATCCTCCAGTAATCAACTATTATTTATTAAAGATATTAAGAAAGAAAATTCCTTTTTAAATGTCATAAAAATGGCCGAAACGTCTCACAGAAACGGGCCGAAACGTCTAGGCGCCGATTTCTACTTAGGGGCCAATTTGGTTTGGAGCTGAAATGTCCTGTTTGCATGCCAAGTTGGTATACTGGCATGCGAGCAGTTCCCGTACAAAAATCGTAGTTACTTAAACATTATTTTTTATTACGCTCACTCACCAAAATTTGAATGTTACACATCAATATTCAGCTCGTCACACAAATCATGGAAATTCCATCATGTTCTAAACATAGAATAACCCTTAGTTATGAGGCCTCATATGGGGTACCGAAATTATCAATTATTTTGTATGAAGAGAAGTAGTTCCCGTACATAAAATCTAACCCATTATAATTATACAATTTTATTATATCGGACCTATTTTTCATTAACAATTGTTGAACAGACCATTATCTAAAAGATAAATAGATGTAATTCAGGAAATAGAGCGTAGACTAAACGCGGGTATCTATTACCCGGTACCGTTACCCCAACGCATTTACAGGCAATAGCATGCTTGTATGCATGATATTTTACGCATCAAAGCCATAAAATTATTATATATAGTAATATTGGTCAACATTCTGCTAATTAAACAAGTTTTCATCACATTGCCTACTTATTTGTAAACAGGTGGTATTAGTGGAAAACCCTTTAACAAGCCTCACGTGTAAGTATTTTTGCGCATGCGCGCAAGGACGGAATCCCCCAGAGAAAACAAGGTCACGTTTTGACGACGCACAGGTGAAAGTGATTTAAAATGAGACTTTATATACGTACTGCCGAACTGACACTTAGATTTTGTCTCGTTTATGTATCTGCTTGATTTGAAATGAATTTTTGATGAATGCAAGTAAAAATCAAGCGTTTAAATGAAAAATACGGGTACTGCTTCTGTACGGGAACTGCTCGCATGCCAGTAGGGCCGAGTAACTACCAGTGTTAACCAAAAAATTATAATTAGCCCCAATAGTCGCTCTATTTTTTATGTTCCAATTTTAAGGAAATTTCTTTACCTCTTTTATTCTTTGTGCCATGTTTCTTTGCTGTTGCCAGTTCAGAGTCTACTTTCTTTTCTAAAAAGTCTGATTTTTTCATTAACATTTCTTCAATTTCTCTTAAACGCTGGATAGCCTCTTGGGGTGTGGGCTCTTTCTCCCCCTTTTTGCCGGTGCCAAACACACGCTGAAAAAAACTTTGCTTGTCATTCATCTTTCTCTACTTTTCAAATAGCTAATGGGGATAAATTGGTCACTGATCTAAGACAAAATTAGCTTTTCGCAATCATCAAATGATGATGTTGAGTCAATTTCCTTGTTTGTCTTTTCAGCAGAAATGGTGTTACTCTTTATTCATTGGTTAAAATAATACTGGTATCCAGCTTAACGGCCTATGTTAATGAAATGATCGAAAACAAGAGAATACGTCTCATTTTATTGGCACAATAAAGTCGATGGTCTCTGCCGGTCTTTAAAGATCGCCGAAAACCGCCGACCCGAGGAGAAAGACGGTCTTGTTATTATACATGATCTTATTGAATATGGCCAGATAACGGATAAATGAAAAATAAGTAATTGATTAATTTAACCGGCCAATAAGCGGAATGCATTTGGTCTATAGTTTAATTATTGTCAATATTTTTGGATGATGTTGAAAATGACAAATAAATTAAGAAATTAAATTTTAATTAATAATAATAATACACTAACAAATGCCTTTGAAGACTGCCGATTATGAGGAAGAAAACCAGACATGTGTTTTTATTGTTTAAATTCTTAAACATTTCATTTCTTTATTCAGTCCTGGACCTGGGACAGTATATTGTGTCACTGCTTCAACATTCTTGAGAATTATCATAATATTGTTCGTAATTTTTAAAAGTCATGAATGAATTTGTTTCACTAAGATAATTAATGGATTTCGTGTATATAATTTATACAATTAACATGTTGACATTATTACCTCCCTTTAATGAATATAGTTATTTCACTGCCAGATATCGCAGATAATGCTAAATGCCCGTTTAATATTATATATAAGGTATAAACAATCATACTTATGTTATGTCGTTGAAAACGTTTTCATGTAACGTTCCCACAATTTTAATGATACTACATTATTTGGTATGTTTATTATTAATGATTAAAATATTCGCGGCAATCGCAACTACTCGGCCCTTTCCGTCACTCTTCGGATAAGGACCTCGAACACAATAGTATGAATACACAGAACGGATGCGGTATTTCGGTCTAACCTACGCTAAGAAACTAAACATAGTAATTTAATGCTGGGAGTTGTTGACAAGTTTATTTCCAATATATGTAGTAAAAGTCCACCAAAATAAGTGAATTCATAGGTACAAAAGCAAACAATACATTATTTATAAATTTATTATTATGGTTGTAGAAACCGAAAGTACAAAAAACCAACCTGTTGACATTTGGTCGGATTTGTTTAAAATTGAACATCAGTGGGCATATTTGTAATTGTTGTCAGGCATATTTTCAAGCATAAGTGTACCGGAACATACATTAGATGTCAAATATATACATTCGTTTTACATTATCTCTGTTTCTGTTTACATCTGAAACCAAGTGGTAGAACTACTTTCAATCCGTATTGTTTCCGAGGTTATTATAGATAATAGCCGAGGCAGTTCCGAATGTATTCGCGGTTGATGATATAATAACAATGATAACAAGAAAAGCATTGATGCAAAGCATCAAAGGGCGTCCAAGCAAGAAATGCAGCAAGTGAAGATGAACTAGAACACATATGATGACAAGATATTCTTATAAACTACCAGAAATGTATATCACTTATGGATGAGCTGACGAAAGACATTGTTCATTATGAACTTTGATTGGCATGCTAGAAATTAGAATATTACTTGTTATTTCTTTATGATCGTGGTTATTAATAGCAACGGATATACATGTATGCAATCATTTATAATCCATATGTGTAACGCATGATCAACACGTACCACACCTTTGTAATTGCCCCTTATTATGTTATCGCTATTAGCGAAGACCCCCTCTTAAGGTATCTGTTCACACTTTAAGTTAGTAAAAATATGACACTGGTTATATTACCATGTTGATCAAGTTGAGCATAATTGTTTATTATACAATAATTGTAATATCTATTAATTTTAATGAAAAAATACAAATTTTATGAATATTGTTTTCTTTTCTTTTTTTGTGTTTAATGTGCTATTTTAATACTGAGTTTTTACTACTCTTTTTATTAAAATTGTTAAATAAATTTTAAGAATTCGATTGTCATATTGACCGACGATTATAAGTCAAAGCTTAACTGGAAAAAGTCAGTAAATTATGGTTTATCTTTTAATATATAATATTGTTTATTTTTAAACCATGTACATTTGTATTTTTCTTTATCATTTTTTAAATTATCAATCAATTGAATAATTCATAAAATCTAATTTGTAACTTTGAATAATTCCTCGGCATCTTTACTAAACACGGATAACAAATTAAATAAAATGTTTCAAAGCTGATAATGTCATTTTAATACCATAAAAATGTACCTTTTTCTCAATTATTGTACATATCACGGATTTATATTACATATAAATCCGTGTACATATTTATTGTTTTTATCTCATATAGATAAAATGAAACATGCTATTGTTGTTGTTTTTTTTTCTAATTGTAACGATATCTCTACTCCAAAACCGGGAGAGACCGGACAATAAACGTGTGGTACTATTCGCCGGTCACTAGTAAATCCCGGGAGAGACCGATAATTACCGATAGGAGTGATAAATAGATATATCTATAAATAGATTTTTTGGAATATTTAGGTCATCAACTGATCTTTCTAGGATACATGTACAACAATAACATACCATGATAACCCACTGTGTACTACAAAATGATAAATAAAAAAACCCGAAGAGCGCGATTTATTGATGGAGAAGGTTATTTCATTTGAAAATGTTTGCATTGCGAAATTCTCCAGTTCGCTATTCATTGTAACATATCGCGACATTTCATTCTTAATAAATAATCAAGCCACCTCATACCGATCGGAATGATCGGCTTTTATTATGCTCGAGAAGTTGCTGTCGCCCTTTCGCAAAATCTGATTTCATTCCATAAGGCGTCCGCGCCGAAGGCGCCGCGCTTCGGCGCGGACGCCAATAATATAATAAACTAACGAAGGTATCTTATTAAGACATTACATCAAAACATCAGAGATAACACATATGATATGCAAAATCTTATTTTCAAAAAGGCCTTCAATAAACATAAAAATAGACATATTACAAGCAATTATAAAGACAATATCATTCAGCACATCCACGGACCTTAATTGTCAATTACATCTTAACTAACAAAGGAGACAGACATAATAATATATATGGTATAGGTATATTGTCTATAATTCTTCTTTTGATGAAAATAAATGTTTGAAATATGATTTTATACAATTTAAGACTTGTAGAATTTCTTATTTCGAAAGGAATAGTGTTCCATAACTTCATACTAGAATAATAAAAAGTATGTTTCATATAATTTGTTTCGGGTCGTTTATGCATGCTGTTTTATCTGTTGATTTTAGTAAGTAAGTTTTATTCTGAGATAACAATTAGATCAGAAATATATGCTGGTCGCTTTATACACCACAATTCAAAAAAGTTATAACATCTAGACGAAAAAGATATCCATTTTAGATTTTGGATCATTTCAAGAGAATTAATTTTTTACGTTTTGTTTTTAGAATAATTCTGGCGGTTCTTTTTTGTAAAATTCGATATTCTATTTACATGTAGATATAAACAGATCTGCGGATGTTTCTAAATTCAAAATTTCACCATTACCATTATTATATATTGAATTCTGCTTAAGCCGGTACGTGCTAGGGGGCGTGGACGGTAACTTGCAATTTCCATTACCATCCATGAACAGGCTCAATCAAACCGAGCCTGCAACATTATTACACTGGAATTCTCAGTATGCAGAAAAAGATAACCTTTGTCATTTATTTGTCATTTTGATTCAATTCTCATGCAAGTTGTCTATTCTGGATTAATGGTCTTATTGAGAGTGCACCATTCCGGACTTATATTACTCAAACTTTGGTCATCTTTGTGTAATATAGTATCATCTGCATACATATACATTTCTGAATTCGTAGTGACTGATATATCATTCACATAAAAAGAAACAGTATAGGACCTTAAATTGACCCCTGTGGTACACATGATCTAACAGGCAAGCGTTTAGATTTTTTATTGTTTACTTTTACAGTCTGCTCTCTGTTCGATAAATAAGATTGGAAAAAATGTACCGAATTTTCAGAAAAATGATAAAGTTTTAGTTGTTTAGTGAATCAGTAAATTGCAGGGCTTCAATTAAGTTCCAAAATTTGGAAGTCAAAGACTTAAAATGTCTGACACTGGAAGTCACGTTATATATGTAAAGAAGGGAAGCAATATATTCTGGAAGTCACAAGACAAAATCAGGAGTAACTGACTCCCTAACTTTCACTAATGGGTGCCCTGTTATTATGTTCAACGAAATCAAAGGGTTTTTTTTAATATAGAAATAAAGCACCAAATTACATTTTCATCACCAATATTGGTAAGTCAAGAATCTATAAGGCGGATCAAAGCCGTTTGGCAAGAATGATGTCTCCGAAAATGGTTGGGAGAATAAATATTTGCCTATAATTTTTTGGGTTTCACTTAATTAGCTCCCTCTTTGCGTAAAAGTACATGTATAACGTTAAATTGCTAGTTTCAATTTTTACTGGGAATGTTCCTATAAAGAGTCTTTACATATTTTTACATATCAGGACCAATTCCATCAATGCCAGGAGATTTTTTATAAAATTTATATAACAGTAAAATTATATTGATTCTATTATTATATGGTAGATTCCCGAAAAGGTTGTAACATAGAATGTTACTATTATTTAACACACATGAAAATGTACATAAACAGAATAAAATGTTCCGGAACCAAATGTTATTTTCCTATTTTAAGTATGGTTTTATCCGTTTAGCAATGATTTGTGCACGTGCCACTCGCTTTGAGGCAATTAATTACCATATTTATTTCATACAAGCATTTTGACGGTATTCTTTTTAAAATCCAAACAATAATTTTCGTAAAAGATATACATGAATAGCTTTATACACATTAAATGTGTTTATTAAATCAATGTAAAAATGCTAATGTTTAACTTTTTTATCTAGAAATTCCTTTAAATACGAAAAATTGTTAAGATTAAAATTAAAAATCATTTATTACCTTTAAAATTTCCGTAAAATGTTTATTTAAGGCATTTGCAGCATTAACATTTCATTAAAATATATCATCAATAATGTTTAAAATGATTGGTAAAGACGATTGCTCCTTATACTCATTTGATATGTTTTAAATTTTGCCGTAAAAATTTATCAAATCTTCAACTGTCATGTTAAAGAACATTTTCTTATTCTTTTGGTATTTATTTATCCATAACTTATAGTTAATCCTGTCTTTACAACATTTATAGTGTTCTCTTCTATTGCGGGCTCTTTAATTTCGTCAGAGTACTAAGAAAATCAATCTGGTTTATAAATACACTTTTATAGGCGCATTTTTTGTTAAATAATGCTTCAATCATATTGTATAGAACACATATAACACATTGTATGGTGTCTCCTTTCAAAACTTTAATAATCAATTTTGAGATCCTTATCCAATTGAAGCACATAAAAATGTTTCGCATAAACCAAAAATATCTGAAGCATTTGGTTCATTAAGTATCATACGTACATGTATTTCATCAATTTTGGGCATAAGATATTGTACGCTTAGAAAACTTAAATGTTATAAACCTTTTGTACCGAAAGTAAATGTAGCATAATTACTAACATGTTCATTGAAAGCAGTTTCAAACTTAACCGACACACTGTTTGTGTTTCAATGTGATGAAGTAAGATTAGAATTATTATCAAGACCTATATACACTTTGAATCATTGTTTGATATAGTATTTGAAGCGCAGTGATTTAAGTGTTACACAGTGTAGAAAAAAAAATGTTTAATATACTAATAATCCATTCATATGAGAGACTGAACTTGAATTTTCATCGGTCAACAAATTCTCTTTCAGTAAAGGGTGATTTCCGTTATCAGTCACTTCTTTCTTAAGGTTGTAGTGTAATATGCTGTTCGTGATTGCCGTCAATATGACTTGAACTTTCTTCAGAAGTATTTGATGATTTACTTGATAGAAATAATTGTTGAATGCTGTCATTGATTTCTTTCGTGGATGTATTATTGGCTTTGAAATGATCTTCGAGTATTTTAGAAATTCTGGTAATGACTAGTCATGGGACACTAATATGCCAGTTGATTTTATTTTTAACCTGTTTGTAGTGTTGTTAGTATTTAGAGATTAGCTCCGCCTACTTGATTAAATATGCACACTCTGAGAACTCTCTCTCTCTCTCTGAGCCCTCTTTGATAGACACTTTACATTATACATGCAATATAGCAAGACCTCTGTTAATACTTCTGTAAATAAATATTAGAATAGTCTATGATATTCAGTTTTCAATACAGTACACTGTTCTTCTTTTAAACTTGCACTTATTCGCCGCACAACACTCTGTATGTTAATGCCCAAGAGCGGGTTATGTACAGTACTGAAAGAAGAAGAATATGTTTCACTGCAGTGAAAATGAAAAAATTACAGTGAAAATACGGAATATGAAAGAGCAAATTTTATTGCATCAATATTTCTCAATACTTCTTTTACACCGTGTATATGCAGTAACGCAGGAATGTGCAAATAACGCTGGAATTGTGCAAAAGTAACGTAAAATTGTGCAATTCAGTGGCTAAAACGAGCACTACAATAAATAAATGGACGTTTATTTTTTATTGTACTCAAACTGATATCAAATTGGGAGAAATGAGTTAGCGCATACGGTTGCTGAGACATTTTACTTAAACCTCTCAAAAGTTTTTCCATGAAAATGTGTATTTTTCAAGATCATCGTGAAAATGACGACCTGACTAGCATATTGATGGCGATTTTTAGTTTCGTTGATATCTTTAATTACAATAACGTACATATTACTTTATGATTTTTTATATTCGGTGTACATTTACAAGTACCTGAGGCATTTTCCAAACTAGCAGTGTCGTATTACACTTAATTTAGCAGATAAAACGTAATTGAGGTCAGTTTTACAAGGTAACGCCGAATTCGTGAATTTTATTTAGCACTGTTCAAAGCAAAGTTCTGCGGTTATCTCATTAAAAGTAGCTAAATCCTATTTTACCAGCTTCCTTCTATTGTTATACGACACTTGTAGTTTGACAAATGTTTTAAGTATACAAAATACGAAAAAATAACGTTTTAAATGTGTTAAATGTCCATATTTATTTGACGAAACACACAAGTCACATTGAAAAAAGTAATCATGATATCTTTCTCGCGAATGATCTAAAACAGTAATTCCTGGAAAAAAGATTGTAATGCTGGTTAAATATCGTAGCAGTCGTATAAGCTAATTAATTTCTTTAAATTTGATTTAGAAATAAATATTTTGGTTCGTTTACTTACTGTATTATTTTGTTTTGGAAATAGCGTTCCGCGGATTCGGCATTATTTTTACGTTAATTGCACATTCCTGCGTTACTGCACGGTGATTTATAAGGACACAGTATTACAAGTAGAGATTTTGATGCTAAAGCATCAAGTCGCCGGATAGAAAATGACTGTATTATCATAAATATAAAAAAATCAGTTTAATTAATGGTTCAGGTATAAAGAAAAGAGGAACAATTTATGTTGAGTAACTGTTTATTCACAATAAAACATCATAAATTATATGAAGCAAACTTGCTTAGCAATATTGTTAAGGAACTGCTATGATTATTAAGTAAGTATTTCGTACGTTAGTTTACGTAACTTATTATGATTTATGCTAAAGATTTTATTGATAGTATAGATCTCGATATTAAATTAATTAATATGTGGTAAGTATAGGACGAAGTTGTGACCTAGTAGGCCAAATTCGAATCTTTGAAAATCCCTTAAATTGCAGTTTTCATAAAACTATTTTTTTGCGCTATCGAAAAAAATAAGCTATTTAGTTGAAATCAATATTCCTGTCGTTACATACGATATAGTTAACGTTTAATTGCCTTTCAGTTCGATAAGATATTAACAAAAAGATATTTTATTAGTTTTCATTATTATGTGTCGTACCGTTTTGGTAACCTGCGCGACGGAAATCGACGGAATATAACGAAGACGACGATTACCACTATTTATTTCAATAAATGTGCCTCTTTAGCATAAATCTATTTTGTGATGTTCAACCTAAACTAAACTATTGAACATTGACAGAAAGGGCAAAATTTAACCCTTTACCAAGATAAAATGAAAAAGTTTTGAAAATTTATTTAATTCTTTAATGTACTAATCCTTTCTAATGATATAAAATATGAAACTGATTAATGCAAGATAACTTTGTAATTATTTATACATTTGCATCTAATTAGCCCCCATACCGTTTTCCAACTAGTATGTCTTATCAGCAATCTGTTACTATTAATAGATTCTATAACACTTACATACAACGTGTAGTCACGTGATTCTTACAATAGAACAGGGAGAATCTGTTTATAATTAGATAAAATAATGAAATATAATAGGTGTCATAAGATATAAAACAACCGGATAATTTAAATGTGTCATTTTAAATATCATTCATGATTTATCAATCATAAAATAGCAACGCTTGACACTTAGAAAAAAGTAAAAGTATCCCTAAATTCAATGACTGGTCCATAGGGATACGTTATTAATTCATTTTATGAAAATTGTAATGTTGCTTTTTAAGATGTCAATATTTGTATATTTCATTTCATTTAGCAACGTTAATTTATTTTTGAATTTTTAAGATTCTGAAAAATAATTGTGGTCCTTAATTGTTCAGTAATTGATTTGCTTTTATTTTCAGATTTTAAGGCCTTCTCCTACCATAGATATAATATTAAACTGTTACAAATATAGTCGCCGGTTTCTAGAAACCGGCGACTAATAAATTTCTCTATTATTAATGTATTTTTTTCTTTTTATTTGCCTCCTTCTAGTCCCTTTCATCGTTCAAGATATTCACACTAAAGACTATCGTCCTGATAATTTTGATCACGGATTTATATTACGTAATATACTTATGTAATATAAATCCGTGTTTTGATGTTTAGTCTTTTCAGATCAAACCAAAAGACTGCTAAAAATCGACGGGGACCGTCGAAGACCGGAGACCGTCATTTAATAGGCCCGAAAGGGGTCGTCTTGTATGTCCAAGATTAACAGAACTTTTATGTAATTTGGTTCTCTGTCTTGTTATGCTTCTCAACATTTGCGTATTTCTAATCAGAACATGACAGGGAACAAGATTACAGGTAGTATTTACGGCCCAGTATTTAATCTGGTTCCCTGTCCTATTATGGTCCTATCATGGTTCCCATCTATTTTTAAAAATGCGCAGGGGACCAGTCTATGCATTAATGGCGAGGTGCTCCGCATGGAAAATTTGCGAAAACGAAAGTTGACATTCCTGCTGGGATCCCAAAAATTTTATCAAGGAACTTGATCGACATTAATTGTGAGTTTTTGTAATGCACATGGCCCCTTTAAAGATCTTAATTGTTAAAACTATTGTAATGCATACAAATGACGTTAAATGAAGTGATATAAATGTTTATATACAGGAGAATTATACCAGTAGAATTGTGAAAACACCCACTCAATGTCTCGCAATTTAAATTCCGCAAAGCAATGTCATATTTGTACTTAATTTGAACTTAATTTTCACTTTGAGCAAAATGATGACTACATGCAACGCTGTACTGTAAACATGATGCAGTGTCTTTGAAAAATAACTTTAAGTGAAGACTGCTATTAGATGCAAGAATTGCCAAATTTTTTCACTTGCATTGTAGGTAGTATTTTGCTTGTAAATGCTCTACAGTAGATACGCATAGTTAAGCGTGATATCAGTCATGAACATTTAACTGAAAGTATATAAATTAAAATGGGTGCATTTATATATGACACTAAACTTAAACAGCATATAATTTTAAACACTAGGCTTATTGATTGATGGGCTGTGAATTGGACGCCAACATTCAATTTGGTAGTTGCTTGTCCTGCAGGCCAGGGATAGAAAATTCATTTCAGAGCCACTCGTCCTGCATCAAATTTCTACTTGACTGGCATACTTTGCTACTTGAACTGCATATTTAACATGATTTTCAAGATAAACTTTGCCGATGTAATCGAACCTCGCAGATGCAAGAGACCGCTAAATATTGTCATAATAAATTTGTTCACATGAATTTGATGAAGCAAAATCGGAAACAAAGCTTGTGTTATAGGTTATGTATAAATCACGCACTTTATAGAGCATTGTCAGGTGTTTTCCAGTCACACCCGTATCCAATTAACAATACGTTCAGAACTTTATAAAATGCGCAAAATATACATAATCTGAAACACAAGCTTTGTGAAACTGCACACCACTACTATACTACATATACTTTTTAAAAAGTCTTGTAGCTATATAATTTGTTACCCAATTTTGGAATTTTAACTTTGTAAACTGGAAGCTTGCGATTGGGACTTGAACCAGAGACCCAATAAGCGGCTCTACCTACTAAGCTATGCTGCTGCGTACACATCTGTTCTTAGTGAGCAGTTTTATACCATGACAAATATATCATCATTATTATAGAGCAGTGGATGTACTAGTAGCATAGGTCCTTAACAGAGTTTAAATACAATATACATATCATTCTACTTTCTTTATAAATATTTAATTATATTCTAGAAGAATGAATTTAAGTCTGACATTATTACCTTTGAAACAAAATAATACACCTACAAATGTACTCTGTATTTTCATTTTTTGAAAGCTATATAACTTTAACCTATACTTTGTTTGTAGCAGAAGATGAAGATTTTCAGTTCATATCACATGTATTTGATTGATTCTAATTTCAGTGGTAAACAATGGCAAGTAGCAAATCAACGGCAAGTAGCAAATCAACGGCAAGTGGCAATCCTCCAAGGTGTTTTAAGCACAATAAAACGTGGCAGCCAAGGATTCAGCAGCTGTTAAACAAGATAAGAGACTCCCTTCTACCCAAAATTTATATTGGAAGATTTAACAATTTACTGTGTACGTGTGATGTAGGCGCTGTTGCTGGTCGGCCAGATATCGGTAAGGCTATATTTGTTCTTTGTTGTTGTGCTTTCTGCTTTTTATTGCAATGCTCAACATAGAAACTTAATTTCTTAACTTGTACTTTTTATATCACATTCTTTTTTTGGGAGTCTTCAAGCTAAAATAATATCACAGTATGGAAAGGAATGAAGAAAAACACACAGACACACATGAAAAAAAAAGAAAACCTACTATTATATTATATTTTTAGAGTTTGATATATCTATGAATAGTTATAATGTAATAGTAATAAAGCATCTTTTTTTGCCATTTTAGCACAAGCTTGGGATGATGTTTCAAATGAGAAGTTACATCAGGCAATTGCCTTCATTGATAATTACGTTGCAAGCAACATTGGTAATGCCAATGTACCAACACTGAAAAAAATCATGGAATGGCTTAGAAAAGATAAGGAAATAAACGATGATAATTCTTCATCACCCCCGCCTTTTCCAAGATCAAGTGCACTGAAATTGCTATATACACTTCAAAAGGTCATTGAGAAAGATTACAGTATTATGGAGTCACGTAAACCGAAAAAGGAGCAGTCTAAGAAGAAAGAAAAACGTGAACTGGTACAGACAGTTGTGCTAGAGGACTACAGACCAGAGTTACTTGGTCAGCTTATTGGGTTCTGCGGTAGAAACATCATGGGTTTTATGAAAAGTAAAAAATGTCACGTTCGATTTGATAAGGTTAAAATAGATGACGAGGAAAAACTTAAGGCCACAATAAAGAAGACGACCGAAAATATGTCGGATCTGGACACGATCGCTAAAGAATTGATAGATTTTGCAAAAGATACGCAAGAAAACGTTGAAGCTTATGTGCCATCGGATGACGAGGAAATAACCCCAGAGGTGTTGTCCGTGTATGACGAAGTTGATCAGATGAATCAGACCGAGGTACAGTAAATATAATTTATAATGCACGCATTAGAAGGAGAAAAATTTTGTTGTTTTTTTTTGTAAATATATTTTTCGGTTTGTGTTATATATTATTATTCATGTTAAAGCTTTTAGAAAGTAATTATTTAAAAATAATATCTACTGATGCAACAACATATTTGTATAATAATGTATATTATTATATAATGTATGTTATGTAAAACTAATAATTGTAAAATGGATATATTATGTACAAAAAAAGTAATATTAAATGGGCCTTAAATGTGGTTAAAAAAAAATATGATATATATTTTCTGTTATTCTACATTTATATGTGTAAAATTTAACAATTTTGTGATTTAATTGTTGCTTTTGTTTTGTTTTGTTGTTACTGTTGTTTAAAGAGAATCTTCATAAATTTTAGTATGTGAGTCTTTTTAATGTACAGTACTGATTTCTGATTATTTTTTTTTGCAGTAAAATATACATTTTATGAATTATATAACTTTTTTATTTCTTGAGGGATTTACTTTAAAGTTTAAATAATATAATCCTCATCACCACCCACATCATATATGATAGATAAATATTCATAACCCTTGCACCTATATTTACAAAATTATCTCCACTTTACACCTAGAACTTTACTTAATAATTGCTCCTTTTTTTTTCTTTTTTTTTTTGTTAACTTTTATCAATTTTACTTAGGAATTGCTCTTTTTTTTTTTACTTTTATCCCAGTACCTCCTTTGTTACTATAGGTAGCTAGTTAAAGGCACATTATGCCTCATAAACAAAATTTTTTTTACCTCTTTTGAAAGGGCAAACATAAATTTTATAATGTTTAGATAATAGTTTTAAAGAATGTTAGATACTTGTTACCTGAGGAAAATTGCAATAAATGTGAAATAATTTGTTATAAAGGTATACATAATACTTAAATTCACTATAAATGAATTTATTGCCAAAAAGCAACAGATGAAACAGACGGTTCAGGTAATTGGCCGATGAGTAACTTTTTGCATAATATGAAAGTACATGAAAATTACAACGCTTTTGAGAAGTAAAAATTAAAGCATTTCTGAGGAATATTGGGCCTGTAAGACATTTGTTCCGTGTCACCATTACCATTATATATGACAAAGTAATAGGAAAGTTTTATCTTAGAATTTTACATTAAAATGTTATTTGTTTACTATTTTCATTATTTTACTTCAGGATCTAGACTACTTCAGTTTTAAGATTCAATAATGTTATCTAAGAACTACAATTTCTCATGATATGTTAATGTTTTGCTTTTCATTGAAATGCATATATCAGTTGGACCTTTGAGTTGATATTGATAATAAAATAATATTATATTGATTTCAAATCTTTTTTTTGTTGTTGATAGTTTTGCTTTTACTATGTTCAGTATAAGATTTATGGAGCGTGCTGTCCCTTCTGACAGCTCTAATTGTTTTGTTTCTCCTTTTATTTACAATCATATGATAAATCAAAATAGATTTACAGGAATCTTTGAAATGCTTGTTATTCTACATTTGTATTTATGTTAAGAAATATTTATAATAAACAGAAGCAAACCAATGTCTGAAACTTTGACTGCTATATGTATTTCATATAATTAATTAGTACTTTAATCAGATATTGAGAGATCTCTTTTGAGGGATAAAAGGTGATTTGTGTTCATTTGAAAATGATTTTCTTTGTAGCTTAAAGAAGAATACAAAGAACTGGTAGAGGCAGTTGATACCTTTAATTCTTCAACAGCTTTTAACGACATATCCAAACATTATGAAGATAATCCTAGTACACGTTACCGAGCTATCACAAAGAAATTCTCATTGATTAGCCAGATTCAAGCTTTCAATGAATTGAAAAATGCATTGGTAAGTCTTAGGCTATAGGTACATAGGAATTTGCGCAATGACTGAGGTATATATTTGTACTTTCTTACGACATACGAAGGTAATGCAAAGGAACAGAAAAAAAATGTTATTTAATTATTTCCTTGCTTAGAATGTTTAAACTTTTAATGGCTCAAAACTGTATTGAATATCGAAAATTCAAGGTGCTTCACTCTGTATATTCAAAAGTTGAAATGATAAATATGATTATTCTCCCTTGATGCTATTAATAGCAAAAACAATGTTATTGCATGTTGGTGGGGATTTCCTTTTATTTTGAGCAATAAATAGTAAATCATGGGTTTTTCCATATTTATTTTTAAAATTCTATTTATATCCATATTTGATTCTAAAATAAGAAATTTTCATGTATACTGTCTATCTCAAATAATTTTAAAAATAAACAAGCTGGAAACTTGAAAATGATATCATAATAAAACGATACTTTAAGCAAGGATATTGCAAATGTGTTATATTTGTTTTTTACAATAAGGAAGTATTAAAAATAAAATGGGAATTGATATTTTAGATTAAGCCCTGGTTTAAAGTATAAATAATAATGGTAGATAATAATTATGTACCTAGAATACATGGAAATGAAATAGTAAGCTTTGCATGGTTGAAAAGTGTTCAATTTTATTTTATTTTTTTTATCAAGAAATATTAAAGCAAGAAAAAATGGCTTGGATATAAACTTTTTTTGGAAAATATAAATTTACATGGAAAAAGTTGTTTTTTTTTAACTTAATTACTTTAAGAATTTTAATGAATTGATAAAATCACAGGCACGAGTATCGGACCTGGGATGAAAATATATGACCAGATTGATAATAAAACCTGTGTTCATCTTAAAAATGTCAAAAACCAAAAAAAAAAAATGTAAAAAATGACCCCCTTTAAAATATACTATAAGTTAAGAGTATATTTTAAAGGGGGTCATTTTTTACATTTTTTTTTTTTGGTTTTTGACATTTTTAAGATGAACACAGGTTTTATTATCAATCTGGTCATATATTTTCATCCCAGGTCCGATACTCGTGCCTGTGGATAAAATATGGGTGCATCATTAAGATATCTAATGTGCAGAAAGACATGTGGGACCAGACAATTAAGGAGATTTGATTGAACTTGACATTGACCTTAATTTGACCTTGACACTAAAGGTCAAATGAGTTGGCTATTACTTTGTATTTTATATGTGGATTTAATTTATACTTGGAGCAAAGAACCTTTAAGTTATGACAAACTGGTATATTGAGTGATTATGTCTCTCAAAATTTTTGGGAGACATATTGTTTTTGGCTTGCCGTCTGTCTGTCCGTCCGGTTGTCGTAAGGTCCGAATTAAGCTTGTCCTCCCTTCACAGGTCAAATTACTGGTGTCATTTCAACCAAACTTTACAGGAGTGATCAGTACCAACCCTAGTTGTGCACATCACTGACATGTTCCGCTTTGCTGCACAAAATGGCCACCAGAGCAGAAAAAAGTAAATATCTTGTCCAGCCTTCACAGGTCAAACTACTGGTGGGATTTCAACTAAACTTTACAGGAGTGATCAGTACCATCCCTAGTTGTGCACATCACCATCATGTTCCGCTTTGCTGCACAAAATGGCTGCAAGAGCTAAAAATAGTTTCGGGAGACATATGTTTTTGTGACGAAAACCCTTCTAGTTCAAATAAGACCTTGACTTTTATTTGACCATGAATGTCAAAGTCAAATTATTAAAATTTGCTTAAATCAGACTCTATCATTATTTTGTTTTTATGCTCCGCGAAGGGTGAGTATATAGTTGCCGCTTTGTCCGTCCACTTTTCTTGTCTGGGACAACAAGAGGTATCAACATGAAACTTTGTAGGAAGAAAGATTTCATTTGGTAGATGTGCAATGCCCAAAAACCATAACTGCCTTGCCTTATTTTGGAGTCGTTGTCCTTTGTTCTTTTTTATACTTTGAACTTTGTCAAGGACATAACTAAAACTTTAAGAAATATCAACATGAAACTTTGTAGGTAGACAGATTTCAATGGGTAGATGTGCATTACAAAAGGATCATAACTCTGCCTTGCCAAATTTTGGAGTTATTGCCCTTTGTCCATTTTTACACTTTGAACATTGTCAAGGACATAGTTCTGAAAGTATAATAGATATTGTAGGTAGATAGATCTCAATGGGTAGATGTGCAGTGCACAAGAACTGTAACTCTGCCTTGCCTAATTTTGGAGTAATTGCCCTTGGTTTATACATGTATTTAGATATTGAACTTTGTCTGTTACATAACTCTGACATTATAAGAGATATGAACAAGAAACTTTGTAGGTAGATAGATATCATTAGGTAGATGAGCAGTGGAAAGGACAGTAGCTCTGTCTTGCCTAAGTTTGGAATTATTGCACTTTGATCTTTGTCTGGGACATAACTCTGAAACTATAAGAGATATACTTTTCTCTGTCCAAAAGCTATTCGGGGAGCATCACCCGGTTCAACAGGTTCTTATTTACAAAATTAATTAATACATACTTGGACAAAAAATACATATGGCAAAACTGGCTTGTTGAATTATTTGATATGACGTTGACCATTAATTGACTCTCAAGGTTAAATTATTGATTTGCTTAAATTGTCATGGCTTTGTTCTTTGGAACTCTTTGTAAATGTTTGACATTGAAATAGCTTTTAAAGTCAACTGAATCATAAAATTGAAAACTTTACAAGCTGCATAGACCCTTTGAGTATATACTCCAGTGCATTGGCGCTTTGATTTTTAATGGGCTGATTCCATGTAGTGTTAAATCATGGTCTTTGTATCAATAATGGCCTTGCTCCAATTTTTTTAAAAGATTTCTTAGTGCAGATGCATTATTGTTAGCCATTATTTGATAACCTATAATAATGACATATGAGCCACGTGACGACAAAACCAACATAATGGGTTTGCGACCAGCATGGATCCAGACCAGCCTGCGCATCCATGCAGTCTGATCAGGATCCATGCTGTTTTCGCTTACCAACTCTATTACAAGTAGAAAAAACTGATAGCGAACAGCATGGATCCTGATCAGACTGCGCGGATGCGCAGGCTGGTCTGGATCATGCTGGTCGCAAACCCACTATGTTGGTTTTATCGTGACGTGGCTCATATTCTTTCGGCATCTGGACAATTTTACAGTGATTTCCTGTAGCATATTTAAATGGATATAATTTTTCTCTCCACGAAACCTAATCAGCAAAGGTATGAATTTGAATTGTTTACAATTATGTATTTTTTAAAGTCATTGCATCTTATTATTTTGTGTATGCACATTCATTATTTTAACTTTCAACCTAGATAATACTATATAATTATACCAAAATTCAGTTAATAAAATTAAGAATTGGCAAGGTTTTGAGGAGAAGAAAAATTGTACCCATTTAAATACACTACAGCCAATTACTGAATCAGTTTGGGCCATTTTTCAGACAAAAATATTTGTACATGTACCGGTTTAATTATGCTATAGGTGCACACAGAATTTATACAATAAAGGATATACACGTATGTATTTAATACATTGTACGGGTATTTTATTCCAGAATCAGCCACAAACAACAGCTGTTAATATTGCGAATCTTTCAATTGGACAAAGTTTAGGGGCTGTCCCTAAATCAACTTCAAGTGGCAGCCAAGTGAGTACTATATATAAAAGAGATCAGAGTGAACCAAGTGCTAAAAAAAGCAAAATGTCAGAATGACCTGTATGTAAAGTACTGTGTAATCGAATGTTGTATGGTTTTGGATATGTTGGTTGTATGGTTTTGGACATGAATAGTTTATAGTGCATATGTGTGTCAAAAAAGAAAACAAAAATTGAAAGTGTGCCTTTAGTTGATATATGACAACATTCAAGTAATAAGTGTTTGACTAATGAAATTGTTAAATTGTGACAACCTTGCATATAATAGATAAAAGAAAAATTAAGTGTCTGAGTGATAAAGATTTATAAATGGATTACCTTATTACTTATATTTTGTATTGATTTAGATATTTGAATTTCTAAATCTGTTTTTATGTGTACACAGAATAACAGCTCATATTTAAAGTACAAGCTTTAAAATTTTATTCTCCCCCACATTGGAAAGCAAATATATATGTAGTTTTTCCATGGTCTATTAGTCCTGTCAAACTAATAGCAACTCTAAACAAAAGGTAAAAGTAAATTTCCTTTGATGCTATTCATTCAGAAAGCCCTTGCATGGCGGCTACTTTTTCTCAAACATGGCTAGCAAAACAAAAAAGTAGCCACCTAAGTACCAAAGTTTAAGGTCATTTAGCAGATTCTGCCTATGCTTATATTCAAATACTTTGGTGGATACTGAAACAATAGGTAACTGTACTTTCATTTTGATGTCATTCATACCAGGAGCATTTATGTAGCTATTTTTCTGTCTTAAAGAGCAATAGGGAGAACAAAAGAGTAGCCACCTAAGTATCCAAATAGAAAGATGTTCTTCTGCCAGTTTGCACAGACAGTACTTATGGAGAGAAAATAGATGCTTATGGAGTGTTAAGAGGTTACTTATGGGGATAAAACATCTTTCAGTCAGCCTTTTAATATGTCCACTCCATTTTCATTTCATTTATGGATAGCATTTTAATTTTTTTTCTCATATATGTGAAGCACATATAGATGATTTGTCACATATGCAAGATCAAAGTCTGTACATATAGCTCAAAGGTCAAGGTCACACTGACTTCAAATGAATTTTTTTCATAAATTTATCATTCAGTCGTAGATTTTAAAATAAATATGCATAGATTAATATTTTGCACACAGCAATGTGTTGAAAGCAAGAATTAGGTCTCTATCCCAATGGTCAAGGTCACATTTGAAAATGTCGAAAGTCATGATATGAATTTTTCAAATTGTTAGGAACAATCCTTGAAATTTTGGAATAACTATAAAATTCATTCTTTCTTTATGCTGGAGATACAAAAAAAAACCAAAAAAAAAACACATTACACATATGTCAAGTTAATGCAATACACATAGGGTGTTTTCTATATCCTAGGAGACAAAGTAGCAAATACATATAGAGAATATACAGAGCTATAGAGTGAACAGCAAACAGTCAGTTAACATTAAGATTAGAGGGAAAAAGAGAAAGAAATTTCTTAAATATTTGTATAACAGGATCATAAATAACCTGGTTATGCATTGAAGGTGTCGTAGTTGGATAGAATGGTAAAAAACAATTTGCTGGATTGAATCAGGACATTTTCTTTTGAATTTCTTTCTAAGGATAAAATTACAATATAAACATACAATTTGTCTTGTAATACAGAATAACGAAATTTGAATAATGATACACAAGATTAATGTCAGGTTCACTGTTTATATTTTTATTTTGTTTTACGTTCTGCCGCTTACTCTGCTTCATTGTATTATTGTACAAAAAAACAAAACATATTTGCTTGCCACTTCAGAATTTTTAAGAGAAAATTTTGATTTACAATATTCTAATTTTGCAGTTTGTGATGGCTTTGCATTTTTCTTTCTTTTATTTACATTGCAAAAGAAAAAAAAACACTGAACAAAAATTAATATTAACTACATTTTTTATTTGTAAGACAATTGTCAAGTTTGAAAGAAAATGCCACTGATCAAAGCCAGTGTTACAAAATGTGACACTGAGTAAGTTTTTTTTTCTTCCCTTGTAGGCTAACCAAGCAGGCGCTAGTAGCTTGTCTCGGTCAACCAATCAGATGGCTGGAACATCTTCCCAGTCAACCAATCAGATGGCTGGAGCATCATCCCTGTCTACCAATCAGATGGCTGGATCTTCAACTTTGGTACATTCAGTTGATTTGAATGATACAGAAGCTGGTGATCCGTGTCCTACGAAATGTATAGTACATGATCGTCGTTGGGTATCCACCTACCAGTATACATTGACCCAGTGTTATACACACATAAAACTACAGAAAAAACATGGTAGTAGATTCAGCAGACTGATCTGTACTTGTGACAAAAAGAGACCAGGTAAATATCCATACATTATTCAATAGTTATTGCATTATTATATCTGTAAATATTTATAATATTTTTTATTGTAGATAACTTTGATTTTTACATGACATCTTTATTAGTCCCCTACCCGTTTACCGGAGGGGACTTTAGGTTTACCCTCCGTCCGTCCGTCTGTCCGTCCGTCCGTCTGTCCGTCCGTCCGTCAGTCCGTCCGTCCACAAAACTGGATCCCGCGATAACGCAAAAAGTACTGAAAATATTTTAATGAAACTTGATATATGGATAGATAGCAGTATGGAGATTATGCACGTCTTTTTCTTTTTTTCCTATGTTGAAAATTCTGGTTGCTATGGCAACAAATAGACTGAAAATATGGCAAATTTTACACATAACCTGGATCCCGCGATACTGCAAAAAGTACTGAAAATATTTTTATGAAACTTGATATATGGATAGATGGCAGTATGGAGATTATGCACGTCTTTTTCTTTTTAAATTCTGGTTGCTATGGCAACAAATAGACTGAAAATATGGCAAATTTTACACATAACCTTGATCCAGTGATAACGCAAAAATTACTGAAAATATTTTTATGAAACTTGACATATTGGTAGATGGCATTATGGAAATTATGCACATTCTTTTCTTATCTTCCTGTATTGAAAATTCTGGTTGCTATGGCAACAAATAGACTGAATTTCAAGATTTCTGATTCTAGTTTTTCAGTTTTTTCACTATAAGTTCTTTATTTCTTAAGGTATTTTCTTCAAACTTTAAATATATGTCATCAACCACATCATATGTGACAAAGTTTACAACTTTAGCACAAAATTTATCAGAATTACCTCCCTGGAACTTAAAATTTTCATGAAAAAAACATTGTTTTTTTTAATAACTTCTTTTTTTCTGAACGTATCTACTTCAAACTTCATATAAATGTTTCTTATTATCACTCAACATTTGTGAGTGTTCAATACTCTAGCAAGACTATTTCCAGAATTATGCCCCTTTTGAACTTGACTTTTTTTTGAGAAATTGGTAATTTTCTTCAATTATGATAGGATTTTCTTCAAACTCACACATCATAATAATATGACAATAATATGACAAGGTTTATAAATCTAGCATCCATATTTCCAGAATTATCTCCTCCTTAAACTTTTTATTTTTCCTATTCGTTCATTTAACTTTCATTTACTTCAAATTCAAAATAAACATTCAATATTCATACCTTCATTACTAATTGTTCTTTGTTACACTCACATCATGTATGACATCGTTATCTCCTTTTTTTTAAATTTTGCTTTAAAAATGTAATATTTTGATAACAGGGATGTTTAAAAAATAACTTTAGAGTGTCCTTCAGTCTGTCTGTCTGTCTGTACATAAAAACTGTTCACTGTAATCACTTAAAATAGAAACAAAAGTGAATGGTCAATGGCCCTTCAGAATGTTGCTTGGGCTTTTACCGGTAGGGGACTTATGGATTGCTTGCAATACTATGATAATTGCTTGTTTCTTTAGTG